ATAATATGTAAATAATGTAAGAATAAAAGCTCGACGCAACCGTTATATAGGTAGTTAAAACTTTATTTGATCGCCAAGTTTATTTAGAATATGAGATTACGAGTATGGTGATGAAGCTTTTTGAACTCTGAGCGGGAGTCGCTACTGAAGTTGGGCGCGTTAATACTAAGAATCAAGAGAATAATTTAATATATTTATTAGGTTTATTAACGGGATGAGATCGGTCATCTTGTAGTTTGAGGTGTCAAATGTTTAAACTCAGTAAAAATGGTGGAAAGTTTTCAATATGTTAATCGCAGAATATAATTAAAATTTATTTACTTTCAGTTTGGCACCGATATTCAAAAATCAACTCATCATATTCGTACTCCTTTATATAAATAAAACTATACGTATTATATAAAGCGCTCCTATTTATATTTTATCAATTCCAACACTAATTTAAACTATGAAACACGGGGTAGATGTCTATATATTTGTATATTAAGACAGGTTGACGGTAAGTTATCGCACCTTTCTAAAGAGGCCACCGTCACCTGAACCCTCATCACGTCTATAATGAATAGTAATGTTCACGGTCATGCAAAAAGAGGTTATAGAAGCGACCTATTTCGAAACTGAAATGAAAAATTGGTAGGAACGAAATGAATAGTTTTTAATTGTGAAGCTCCATTCAACCGCTTTGGGATTTGGGACCGCTGCGGTTTGGATGATATTCAGAGCACATGTGCCTTTTAACATTAAATGTAGAGCAAAAATGTGCTTTATTCACTGGAATAAGTGCTAATTTATGGCGCACATGCTTGGAACTGCCGCACTTGACACATTTTTGTGAGTGTGATAATTTTAATATAATAAACTACTAACACGTGGAACTATTAATATAATAAATTCTTACGTGATTAATCAACATAACACTTAAACATTGAGTGACTCTTTGTTGCGATTACTGTTGCATTATTTAAAATTCAAATTCTTATCGGCTTAGAAAAATGTGTCGGGTTAAAAGTCATCGTCCAATTTACTCAGTAAAGAGCTATTTAGTCCGCTTTACGAGTGCCGCACAATAACAGAGTGCTCTAAACGTCACTTTATGACGGCTGTCTCTTGTTGATGCAGTCTTGGAAGGCGGGAAGTTTTATTCACTTCTAGCAGAGTGAAGTTGAATTAACAAATATAATAAGTTTTAAAATACCTTAGATACAACTGCTCTATGATTTTTCCTAGGTTCTAAAACGCTCACAGAGCCGAATCGAATTTATTTATCTTATAATTTTACATACTAGGAGCTAATTGAAATACAGATAACATAGACATTATATTCCCTACATGTATTGTAAAATATTTAAAAAAATCTTGGTTGTAATAATGAGTAGGTTGTGTAAGTTAATTTCACAAAGAGTTTTTTGTCTTTGACGGTATGAAGCTAACGTTCTGTTGTTTAGTTTTCATTATTCTGTGTTTGTTTGCTGCTGAAAGGGAACAATATTTGCACATTTTCTGATTCTATTATATTAAAGCTTGTAAATATAAATTTATGTGCAGCTCAAACTGTTCCTAATGTTTTTAATTTCATGACAGTGATGAAATATTTAGTTTTTTTAGCCATCCCAATGGTAGAGCTCGTTAATTAATCTCGATCTCTCGTCGGTTTCACTAATTGGATAAAAGTGCACTTTTTTAAACTACAATGTTTTGAGTACTTGCTTTGAGTTCAAACGTAGTAGAAAATGCTTACCACTTGTTTTATGTTGAAAGCATAATTTTCCCTAACACTAATTATTTTTACTGTTTCTTAACGTGGCCTTGTAGTGTTGTACCAAGATCAAATGCAAATTCCGTCTAACCTCAATCATTTGTCATAAAAATGAGAATATATCAAAGATAAAATGTCTATGTCGTTTACGAATCGAATGTTTTTGGGTAGTAAATGGAATGCAATATTTAAAAGGCAACACTTCAATAAAGAACTTTCCAGAAATTCCATTAACCAGTGGTTTAATGAATTACAGATATGACTTAAGCCCTAGGTGCGATTCTCTGCAAAGTAAATTGTAAGCCTGACGAGCTTTAGAGCTCGTTTACATTCAAATTATCATGCTATAGTTATTGAGTCTATATGTATCATACTAGTTAACGTATATTATATACAACACAACAGAGCTGCGTTGTCAATTGACACCCTCTTTAAAATGTTAAGGTAATAATAAAAAAATCAGTCAAAATTTTTATTTTTTTCCTTTTGTTTCTAAACATCACCTTAAAGACACACGATCAAATGATCGCGGCAACGTAGGTACAACCTTAATTAATTTAGAAAATTTTCTTATCTATACAAAATACGAGAAAATCATAAACTTAAATGCTCGCCAGCTCCCTAGTTACTTAAACTCGATATTGCCAAGTGGCAGTGTGTTTTGTTCCCACACGTCACCTGATTGACACTGAATGGCGAACTAACTAACTAGAGTAAGTCGATACTTTGAATAGGTTTCAAAGGAATCCAATATATGCATTTAAAGGACCGTTCACAATACCTACTAAGCAGTAAACAATAATTGATGCGTGAAACTTAAAACTGAGTATATAATGTTTTCGGGTTAATACTGAAATTACGAAAAAGGTCTGTCAAGTTATTATTAAGTATAAGTATTAGTAAGTACACATTTAGATATGAAAATTGTTAGTCAAAGTCCGAAATGGGTCACCCAAATATTTATAAAAAATATAGCAAATTTAAGGAGCTCTTGACGGATTAACTTTGTGTAATTGAACTTTTATAATGTCGAATAGAGCCTTGACATACATGTCAAAGTGTTGTAACCCAGTTTAAAAGGGAAGTTATTCGTTTGACGAGCTGGCGTTTATCTCGGGGGAGACAGGTGAAGTCGCATTTGCAATCAGCCCCAAGAGTGCGGTCGCCTGTTCATTACTCAGTCCTATATATTACCTAGTCACCGCCCGTATATATTATGGTATACTTACCTCAAACTCAAGTTGTGAACTAAACTTAAATACGGTTTCAACTAATGAAAAGTAAGTGAGTTTAAATATCTTGGTTTTGAATGACCATCTCAGCCATGGAGATGATATTGAAGCGTTACAAAGTTGGTGAAAGAATACTAATTAAAAATAATGTTAAATTGGCATTTGAACTATTTACAGGAGTATTTTTGGGGCGCCATAGTTGTAATTTTGAATCTTTAAGACGATGCAATAAGATGTTTATTCATTTGGATGTTAAATTCGTGGATACAGCAAATCGCCGCTAACCGAACCCAATTTACCTTGACTGCATTGCACGTCTAGCGAATTGTTAATAGATATTATTGTTTTGTTTTAGGCTAATCTCAAGTTCATATATATTCAAGCTGTTTAAAAGCACTATAACGCAATAGGAAAATATTAAACACTGATTAAAATATCAGACTAAAGCAATTAATATTATGATTTAAATAATTTTTCTGAATATGCCAATCGGACTTTTATTTAATTGTTATACTATGATAACAGTGATAAATTTAACTAGAGTAACGTTACTGCTCAATTATCGTATTTATATTGAGGTCATCGTGGGCTGTCGACTCAACTAAGAACGTTGGAAGGCGTATTCATTCGTCTTTACAGTATTAGGAATTATGTATTATAGAGTTGGTTTCAGTTAAAAATAGGTATGACATGCCTAGACTGAGAAACTTTGTATATATAAATAATAATCTTTCAATGTATACAAATTGCTGTAAATGTAAATAAAAATATATATATATACATACAAATCTAAATCCGTACCGCTACCATACAATCTGGCGAGAAAATTTGATTTTCAATATAACATTGTTTCGTAAATTGCTCCATACATTGGTATTATTTATGAGATTTCTAAACGAAAATAAAATATTGCATGCAAGAGCACGTCGCAGTTCATTTGCTATCTCCCTCATGGCCGTGTTGCGTAAATCTTATACTCGCAAGCACATTTGGGAGTGGACAGAACTGTATTTGTGTATAGGAATAATTTCCCCAATACACAATACAATATTGTCAATTAAGTCACTATGGTGTAAAAATTGTACAACAGGAATATCGCTCAAAGTAATGTAATGTTTTGGTATCGAGTGTAGTAGTCCAATATATTGCCGGTGAGTGTACGATAGCAGCTCTCCAATGAACTATGCTTTTCTGTGGTTCTTTCCTGTTTTGTGAAAATGAAATCACTACATTTTTTCTTTTACTCGTAACACAAGTTCTAGTTTCAGAATATATTGTTGGATTTTAAAAAGCAATCACAATTGTATTTTGTATTATTATGCAGAGCGATGATACGATAAGAAAAAGGCTTATCGTGGAATGACGGTTGTTTGTTCCATAGCCAAGATAGCTTGACTATATTATATCTGAATACATGTTTAAATATGTCTTTCAGAAAGTGTTTAGTAGGTGTCATTTTGTTGTGTTCGCATTTGTTTAAAGGTTTGGTATTGGGCCAGATTTACATCTCTAGTTCACTCCAATATACATAAATGTGGTGGTACGTCTGATCGACAATGTGTAGATGCATGTCTCTGAACTACATCTAGATGTGTGAGAATGATAGGTATCGTGTCGTCTTAGAAATTATTTTGAACATTTTAAGAAACATTTGTTTTCATACAGTCGATAACAATATATTATATGCACTGCGACATCTCAGACTCTGGTGCATTCTTCGTACACATCATTACTTTTTTAAGTCAAACTGTAAAATATGCTTATTCAATATTTAAATCACAAACATATTTCCTGTCACAATCACGGAATTACTGTGTCTTCAAGCTCATTTAACTATTGGCATTTCACTAGAGGGCTTTTCATAAAATAGTCTAAATTGTGTAAATTTGATACTTTTGTAAGAAACAAGACTAAAAAATTTACGAATAGCCCTCGTTGCATCTCACAAAATTTCTCCGGCTTTAAGCTTGACAACACAGTATTTCCTGACCCAGGTTCCAAAACTAAGTGTGATGTTTTCGCCAGCCGTGGAGCCGACCTACCACTTCAAAGTGCTGGTGCCGTCCATGGTGGCGGGGGCCATCATCGGCAAAGGAGGCGAGACGATCGCCCAGCTGCAGAAAGACACCGGCGCTAGGGTCAAAATGTCCAAATCACATGATTTTTATCCAGGTAAGTTTTAAGCGTTTTATTAGGTATATAACAAATTATCGATCTCACCCGACTATCTTGATCTTATGGTGAATTTTCTTTTTAATGAAAATACTTAGTTGATTATTTTATGACTCAATGATCAAAATAATTCAGGTTTACAAAATTAATACATATTTAATTTTACAAATTTAATAATTGATAACAAGTTTAAAGTATGTAATAAATAATAAAATGTGTGGAGATGCATCTATGACTCATCTGTCAAAATCCCAGCTTATATCCGAGATGACGGTTGATATATTGGAATCTCTAGACGCCAATATCGCTCCCAAGAGTTGGAAGATAAATTGTATGAATATTGTAGGAAGTTTATATAGAGGTACGATTATACAGCGTTTTCGTTATCCTGCGATAATCCTACCAAAGATACATAATATAGTACCAGATTTGTCTGGATATCCACAATTTCTTTAATAATTTTTCACATATTTAAAGTAAATATTTTATAGCGGTATAGAATTTGCTGGGTTGGGTGTTAAATACACACTTTTTGAATACTAATTATCTAGGAGTGTCCGGGGACCTTCATTGGAACACCTCCAAGTGAGTTTTGCTCCGAAACGCGTCTAAATATTTTTATAAAAAATTTAAAGTTTTGTGTAATGTATTAAAATTTTAAACAATCGCATTTTCTACTTTCTATTGGTATAAGTATGTGACGTTTACTTAAAAAAATGTGTTTTTAATTTATCGATTGTTAATAATCGTTTCATTATATCGATTTTTCTCATTGAAATTTAAAGTTATAGAATAAAAATTAAATTAAAATTTCTGAAAAAGGGTTCGAAATTTTTGAAATTATCGATACTACTGTCTTATTCTAATTATACTTTATTTCATTGTTTGCAACTTTCTATATTATTTAATTTTTACTAGAATAAAGTGTTTACTTTAATATCCAAAAAGTACCCAAAACCGAATCAAGACCCCACTATCCACGTGGTCTTGTCTGTCTTACCCTAGAGTGTATATAAATAATCGGAGGCGCGGAGGAAGACAGCCCCCACCCGCTGTAACAAAGCACAGGCATTATGAAAGCTGTAGCGGCTGAGGCTGGTCGCCGAAGGCGACCAAAAAGCCGAGGTTGCGGAGGCTTGAATAAAATGCCTGTGCTTTGGTACGCAAGGGTGGAGGGGCTCATTTCCCCTAGCGCCGGAGCTGTCCACAAAAACAAATTATTTAGATTGGTTAGGTTAGAGTTAGTATAGAATATTTGGTCGCCGAAGGCGACCAACCAGAAGCCGAGGCTTGAATAAACAATTACTATTTAGATCGGAGCTGTCCACAAAAACAAAATTATTTAGATTGGTTAGGTTAGAGTTAGTATATGAATATTTGGTCGCGAAGGCGACCAGGACCGAGAAGCGAGGCTTGAATAAACAATAAGATCGGAGCTGTCCACAAAAACAAAATTATTTAGATTGGTTAGGTTAGAGTTAGTATATGAATATTTGTCGCCGAAGGCGACCAGGACCCAGAAGCCGAGGCTTGAATAAACAATTACATTTAGATCGGAGCTGTCCACAAAAAAAATTATTTAGATTGGTTAGGTTAGAGTTAGTATATGAATATTTGTCGCCGAAGGCGACCAGGACCCGAGAAGCCGAGGCTTGAATAAAAATTACATTAGATCGGAGCTGTCCACAAAAAAAAATATTATTTAGATTGGTTAGGTTAGAGTTAGTATATGAATATTTGGTCGCCGAAGGCGACCAGGACCAGAAGCCGAGGCTTGAATAAACAATTACTATTTAGATCGGAGCTGTCCACAAAAAATAATATTATTTAGATTGGTTAGGTTAGAGTTAGTATATGAATATTTGGTCGCCGAAGGCGACCAGGACGCCGAGAAGCCGAGGCTTGAATAAACAATTACTATTTAGATCGGAGCTGTCCACAAAAAAATATTATTTAGATTGGTTAGGTTAGAGTTAGTATATGAATATTTGTCGCCGAAGGCGACCAGGACGCCGAGAAGCCGAGGCTTGAATAAAAATTACTATTTAGATCGGAGTGTCCACAAAAAAAAATATTATTTAGATTGGTTAGGTTAGAGTTAGTATATGAATATTTGGTCGCCGAAGGCGACCAGGACGCCAGAAGCCGAGGCTTGAATAAACAATTACTATTTAGATCGGAGCTGTCCACAAAAAAAAATATTATTTAGATTGGTTAGGTTAGAGTTAGTATATGAATATTTGGTCGCCGAAGGCGACCAGGACGCCGAGAAGCCGAGGCTTGAATAAATAATTACTATTTAGATCGGAGCTGTCCACAAAAAAAATATTATTTAGATTGGTTAGGTTAGAGTTAGTATATGAATTTTGGTCGCCGAATTTTCAATTATTTTTAATATTAAAATCGAATACAAAAATCGATTTTCACTTTTAAAAAAATCGATTATTTTTCAATCCTATTAATTTTTAAACTTAATCGGCATTTGAATGTGGTTTATGCTAGACTAGCGGTAATTAGTTTTACAGTGCAAAGTTTACTTTATAAATCTTTATAAAATTTTGACGCGTTTCGGAGAAAATACTTGGAGGTGTTCCAATGAAGGTCCTCCGAACCAAAATATCGTCAAAAAAGTGCGATGGTATTCAAAATGTTACCAATTTGCTTAATATAAAAAGAAATTGCCGATACGACAGTTTTAATAACGTGGGCATTATCGCTCAAATGAAAAGCGATACATATTGTGTGTTCCGCTCAAAGTGTTTTCCACTCTTGGGCACAACAAAGCCGCAGCCAATGTGCTAGGTCTCAAGGCTGTCTCTTTATGAGCTAAGTAGGCCTTTATAACAAAGGGCGTTTGGCTCCTGACGCAACTAGGTCAATGCATGCTTTCCAATTTCACCCTTTGAAAGACTAATCTTAAAACATGTCATACTATTTAACTGATTATTTCTCGCTAGACTTTGGAGTACCCGCTGGTATAACTTTGCATAAGTCTTTGTATAATAAGTCCCATATTTTGTTTAATAATTATTTTGTATCGAATTAAAGAATTAACTACTTATTTCATACACTAAGCTTCCAGTTATGTTTGCGTATTAATGAGCAGGTAAATCCTGTTTCTCCGAACATAAAATTATAATTAAAGGCAAAGTTGATTATTTCTTTACATTTTATTATACACACGTTAACGAGACCGTGGCTCATTAGGAGACCGCTCTAGGTCAAGTTATATAATAAACGCGGTTTTAACATAGTTTGGAGAATTATTAGTAACCAGGAGCTTATAGATTTTGGTTCGACGATGAATACAAGTCAATGATATTATACTCTTTGTTCAAGGTTTTGGTGTTAAAATGAATTCTAATTTGCTTGCCACGCTTTATCCGTATAATCGAATTTAATGAATGTTCATAGTGTATTTAATGCGAAGGACAGCCGGCGAAGTGAAAACTATTAAAGACATAATGTTTGCGATAAATACAATTCGTAGGCAACACATTAAATGTTGCAATTTTACTCGGTTAAACAAATATTGTTTGTGGGTCTATTGCTATTCATATTTACATGAGACCTTTGGAGAAGCCTTTGCGATAAACGGCGAACAAGTGTTTCATAAGCCTGCTTATCTTACGACATTCAGCTTTCCTGTCAAGTAAAATTATACAATGAAACGATTTCATCTTAAGATGTTCAGACAAAAGAAGTGTTTACAAGAGAAGAAAAATTAAAACGTCCAGAATCTTGTCTACCTTTTGGTCTTAAATAAATAAGTAAAAGTAACTTTGAACTTAAATAACCAAATTAGACATTTAGATTTTATTGTGTCCAATAATTGTTATTCGGTTAAGCTAAAACTCTGAACAAGTACCCAGGTAATGAAATTGATTAACAAATAAAATAGTTATCATTGTATATTCTAAGTACATGCACCGGCTTGAAGGTCAACACAAACTTATAATTTATAATCAAAACTTGAAAATTTCATTTTGTATTATTTTAACTAAGTTCTATACTTTTTGATTTTATGACCACAATAATAAAAAGTTATTACTAGTACCGAAGAGTTGAGTTTGACAAATCGCTATGTGATCATCCACGTTACATCATTGAAATACTTGGCGTAAGGTGTGTCAAGGTCGACGCTAAGTCGCCGTTCAGGTGATATTGTAAAGATTAATTTATTTCTTTTGAAGACACAAATGCCAAAGTACTCACTACTATGCCTGTAAAACTGCTTCAGAGCTGTGAATTTGAATTTTAAAGTGACATCATAGCTATAATTATTATTAGACGTCGAGCAATGCAATTGTGATGGTTACATTAGCTGCGCAAAAACAGCAACGACAAACGGCGATATTAATCACCGTATCCGGTAACCGGTTTCCTGAGGTGCTCTATTTGGGTTATCCATTCGTTTAACCCAATTTTTAGTTGACCTTATTCAATGCGACGTTGAGAGATGAAAGTTTTTGTTCCATTAAAAATTCCCATTGTCGAATCTACAAAGCCGAGATTAGAGATACGCGAAATTCAAACAAAAATAATTTATTTGACAATAGCTAGCCAATGTCAATGTGTGTTGTGACATTTTTACCAAATGTCAACACTACGATGACTTCATCTTTACGAATACAAAGTAAAATAATAATTAACTTATATTTATGGGAATTACATCGTGTAGCTATTTAAGAATGGTATGAGAACTAACTAAAAGCAAAGAGTTTTCTAGACGGCTATATTAAAGCATCGATAGCTGAAACGTGTCATCGAGAGAATGGATACTCATAAAGTTGTCTCTGCATTTTCCTAAAGCATCTTTGGAGTCTGAAGCAATCTCTTTAGAGCGTCTTCACTATCATTGTGCCACCCGCCTCCCTCCCGGATGTATGGAGCGGACAATACTTGCTTTCATCTCGAATTTTAATCATTTGCAACGAAACACTCTTTATGCGAATTTATAAACAATGGGAAACTTTTTAAGTTACTCTATATTTCAAACAGAATCCATCTCCAATTTGAACTTGCAAAGCCTTTAATTATTAGCGGGACGAAGGAGGTAAAAAGATGTCCAACGACCTTTATGTTTGGACCGAAGGCTTACAGACTATCATATTTTATTTTTATAAATTATAATATTCTTAACCGTTTGATAGAGATGAGTTAGATTCAATAGCCGGATTCTTCGAAATTCGAATCTCTCCAAAACACAAAACCACCGCGTTAGGAAATGTGTAAAGGCTATTATTAATATTTAAAATATAAGTAAACAATATTTGTACCGGTTTTTAACGTAGTAACTCTCAAGGACGATGCAGGTTTAAATCAACTAGTTTTTCTACATTAAAGTCCCGCAAATAAACTCCCGTTTATAGGACTGAATGCCACGCCAAGACGCGTCTTGGACTATGGACAGTGTAATTGGCCCCGTAACCTATTTCTAGCGTTATTTCTCTATTCTCCTCCACCCACGCCATCAAAAAAGTTTTTAATGATTCACTCGAGTACAATAGCAATTCATGAATAAAGCCGGAGGCACTATTAATCACGCCGTCCTATTGAAAGTAAACGTGTCTAAAAACTTTTTCAGCCGCTTTGTTGCTCTCTTGATTGGATTTACGGCGTTTAATTGATAATTTGTTTCGATATTAAATTAATTCAATTCGATATAAAATTACAGTATTTTCACAGTATTTAGCTATTGCTTGCTACGTTTACGTGATGATCATAATAACTTCTCCACTTTAAATGATCTTATTAGGAATCATAAATGCTAAAATTGCATGTCGTTAAAACAATACATTTTTAAAGTAATTTTCCTGTACAATTAATATAATATGACTCGTCAATAAAAAGTTAACTTTTTCGTATTCTGCCGTTCATGGACATCATTACGTTTCATTCAATCTCTATTTGGAGCGATTGTCATAAAAAGAAGGTATGATGTGTTGTGAAAGCTGAATGAAATGTATAAATGTATGGTACCTATTAATATAAAACACTAGCGTCGAACCCGGGTTTTTCTGTTAAAAGACTAGGTGTGTTTTAATAGTTTAAGAGTCATGTAGGTAGGAGAAATCTATTCACGACCATCAAAATTTCAGATAACATAAATTTACATGAACATTTAACATGCAATTTGGCAGCACATTTACTCTCTTTACATATACTGCTGCCATTTACTCTAGTAATTTTTAAATGGGGTTTAATTTAGTGTTAATGTCACTCTCCAAAGGCTAAAATAACCCTCAATATTTACAACTAAGAAAAAGTTAAGAATCTTTAAAATGCCTACTGCATTATAAACGTCGTAATGTGTGATTTCTTCTTCGTGTATATAAAATACTTTTTGTATTGTGTAGACTACAATCAACATTTATACTTTCCAAAGCGCAATAACGCCTCTGTAGACTTTATACCAGTTTAACCCACGCCTTGAACCTCTATACCTCTGCAATATGATATGTTACGTGTGATTAAGCGTCGGTGGCGGAACAGGTTGTCCGCAAGGCAAGACGAGTGCAATCTTCCAATCGTGTCGCCTAACTCAAGGCTCCTATATCCATCATGTTCATATGAGGTCATCGCGATGAAAATATCATCACATTACGGCTAGGATGCAGGCCACTATAGTTGGATTAGATAACCAAATACCACATACAACATTTGTTATGCGTTTTGTCACTTGACACTAGAAATACATAACTTTTGTATTGTTGCATACAAAAGTTGGCATGCCCAATGGCCTTGACCTAAAAATAGCAGAACATTCATCTTGACACCCTGACACAGTCTAATAGGAGTAGGACGCTTCTTTCGTCGCATCCATTGTTGTTCTGGATGAATCTTACGTCCTTGTCATAGAGCTGTTTCTCGTGCAGCTGCCTTACATAATCGCCATAACACTAATGACGGCTGCGCAAATTGCGATTTCAATTATGTTTTACGATTTGTTTGACGCAATTAATTTGAATTAGTTAATGTGATATATTGTGTATATGCCACGTAGGTGTTTATACAACGATTATCAAGAAAATGCTAAACAACCTGACATTATGCATTTGTTACACACGAGCGCTAAGTGCAGCTCAATAGCGTTTATAATTGGATAACACAGGTAATCTCTATCGTGCGACCTTGCCGTGGCATTGTATTGAATACGTTAACCGAACAATCGCAAACGATTCGCTTCTACGTGTTTCTCGTCCACGATGGCTGCCTTATTATTCGTCCGAGTTATAATTCTCTTGAAACGTTTTGCTCAACGTGCTAACAAAGAAGATTTCTTTGTCACGTTTCTAGCGTTACGCTAACTCGTCAAATCGTCACCTGCATTGCAAGATTGTTGGTTTTTGGCCCACTATACTCAATTACGGCAACGTTGGAGTGGTACCAAATGTTAATGACCTGGTTACAGGCGAATATGAGCGCTAAAATTATCGCACAAATATCAAAGTTGCCCAGCGCGTTTCAAGGTCAAGGGAGTAGACCGGTTCTCCACGTATGCGGTATGCCTAACATTGCATAATTTGTTGCTGCATATCGACCGTAGATGAATTTATTATGTTTCAAAGCATTTGATTCCAAACGCATTCTTAACAAACTATGCTTTGGAATCGCTAGACTCCACTTTTCACTTGATAAAAAAATATATTCGTACGAGCTATCTATTAGCTATGAAGCAATCAGTACTCGACTCGAGTTGCCGTTTGATTGCATTGTTCGATGCCATCTATTCTACTTTGGAAACTTTTATTGTATTGATTAAAGTTCTACAGAGTTCAAATCACTTTGACTTTTAACACTTAGGTTGAGTTTTTTAACTGCTATAACGAACCGTATTAATGAAGAGAAAACAGCAGCGATTTATTATTTGTATCGATTGCTATTATTGCTATGAGCAATAATATCATGAAACTGTGAAGTGTTCAGGCAATGTTAATTATTATAATGCCAGTTAGAATGTTTGTAGCGGCCTTGCGGCTTACAAGAAGCTTTGAAAGAATACAACAAAGGCCACTCGAGGTTGTCCCAAAGCTTTGACCTCCAACTCCGGAATTTGAAACACTCGCTATGAATTTCTTGTTTCTTTGATGAATTTAAATTGTCCGAGTTGCCCTTTGTATTCCTACCATAATATAATTGTATGATAATTAGAAGAATATTAATTGTTCTGCACTTTGCCCGTTGAAATACGATTCCATGTTTACTTGCAACTAATGGACTTGATAGTGACATAGGATTTCAAATGAATTAGTTACTAGTTTTTCATTGTGAAATTTTAATCATTTTTATAGTGAGGTCTGTCTATCAGATTAATTTAATAATTCTGTCCGGGTCCGGTTTTACCGCGTTATAGGAGTATTCTCGTAAAACCGTTTTTTGAACAATTCAAAAACTGGGAAACACGAGTTTAGTAATGTTATTTAGTCTAATTTTATAACACAATTGATACAGGTGCAAAGATACGCAAACTAATTATGTATTTGAAAAATCATTATAAATTTCACACTACATACGTATAACTTGACAAATCTCCGCGTTATATGGGGGACGGATATCGCGTTATAGTGGGGATTACTGTACAGTGTACATGTAAGCGTGTGTCAAACCCTTCAAAAGGTCTGTTGCCTGCAAAGAACATTTTTCTTATACAGAGTTAATCGATTAATATTTTTATGATATTAAACAACTGCGTATAAAACATAAAAATTGTAATTTCCAGGTACAACGGAGCGAGCCTGCTTAATCACCGGCTCGGTTGAGGGCATTATGGTCGTGCTGGACTTCATCATGGACAAGATAAAAGAAAAGCCCGAGCTGGTGAAACCATTCCCCGATGGCGTAGACGCCAAGATGCCACAGGATAGAGACAAGCAGGTGTGGATGGCAATTTTATAGCTAATAAATGGTTACGCAAAAACTCAGACTGTTCTGAAGTATTGTTTCTATAGCCTATAATGACATGGGGTCATTTTGCAGCATAATGAATTTTAGTTGGCTTCCCCAAGTTGACAACCCTGGTCTTGACTAATCCAAGTTAAGTTAATCTGTGGGCTTAATGTAGATCTGGACCTCGACCGTGAATGATTCTCGTTATCTAATATTTTATTGCTCGGTCAACTGGAAGAAATGTTTGTCCTCTAGTTCGACAGAGCGTGACTCGGCCTACTCGCCATGTTCACGGGGCTCGTTGAAGTTTTCTAAACTCTACCGATTTTCTTATTCAGTTTTTCTTCTCAACAAATATGGATTGTATATTCTGCTGTTGTTTCAGTGTATCCTTACCTTTTTATAAATAATTTGTCAGCGGAAAATGTCATGAGCATTGTTGATATCATTAATGTTATTAAATTAAAACAACATCCCATCCGGTGAAACGTTAATCAAATTACCTGCTCATTTGCATAATATGCCCGCGTATTACTGCAGGGATGCCTCGCTAACATGTTCCGATTATTCCCTTTTGCACTTTTTATTGACGTCTTTATATATTATATGTATCCCATTATTATTTATTTCATTATTATTTTTGTTGATGTTGGTACTAAAATTAGTCTTTAAGTTGTACTTACAATTGATCTGTTTTATCTAAATACATAGGTACTTCTAAACGTTGTAATAATTTTATAAAGCGTTTACGTTTGACAACAAAGTTGTTGAATTTCGAAGTCTTACAGTAATAATGGTAATGTAAACGGCCTTCTTAAAGTTAATTTAATAAAGTCTATTACTTTTTCATAATTGATAAATGTCGTGTCATGTTTCTGCTTATAGGCAGAAAATTATCCAAACAAGCTAAATAAAATGCAGGATGCGAGTTTATGAATCACCGATGACTAAATCACGGTGCGAAGGATTATTACGACGGGAAAAATGCTGTCAACAGAATCGATAAAACGTGATTATTAATAGCCTATAAATATATATTTCCCCATGTGAAGCAAAGTCGGCTGTCCTTCGAGCTAAATTGAGCTTGGCCTTGACTCTGTTATTAAAAAAAATAGCTTTAAACAATATATGCAAAGCCATAGATAATATTGCAGTTTTCGTAACGCATTTGTAGGCATGTGTGTGTGATGCACGTGTTGGCTCTCGTGACTGTTTAATTTTATTTGCACTTGTGTGCTTCGTAGATTTAACGTCTTTTAGACTAGCTATCGAGCCTATGGCCGGCGACTTGATTATCCAGGATCTTGTTTTGGGGGCGGAAGTACTGACCTCTATGGAGGTTTTTACTTTTGTACTCTGTTGAAGAAAGATCGAACGATCAGGAAGTACACTTCCTTCCTGATCTTTTGACCTGATTTAATAATTAGAGTAAAAAAGCAACATATATTTATTAGTAAATAATCATAACCAATTTCTATAGTTAAGAAGAACTGTTTAAAGAATTTACATTTGCGTTAGTTTAAATAATGTAATTATTTTGGAAAGGTCAAATTCGTTGACTTTAAATATTTTTGCAGTTGCCGTGCAGAAAACGTACCTAAAGGCTGGGTAGTGGGTTGGTTAAAATTAACTTGTTTTCGTAATGAATGCAGGACTGATAAACATCGTGATAACGCGTCTGTTCGTGTTCCCGCAACGTTTATTCGTTGAATCAATACACAAAGCAATTTACCTCCTCTAATTCGAGAACATAAATATGATTTCGGATTTTTTTTTTATTTGTAATGGTTACGGAGACGCACATCAAGTTGCCACGTTCTAAGCATAATAATAAACATAATTCATTATAATGGTGATATTGTGCACTATTTTTAACATAATTACTACGGTACGGGGACGGGAGTTCCGACAGTGCTACTTATTAGGCAACACTTTAATATAGGATAAACAGCATATCGGTTAAATTCTGAGCAAAGAAAACCAATAAATTATAAGATAATAATAATAAATAGGCTGTGATATAAGTAGATCAAGCAGTAGCCTATTTATGTCTAAGCGTAATTAGCTTTAATCACGTAATTATTGGCCTTTGTTTATTGAAATCCATAAAAATCTATTCGTTAAATCAAAACTTGGCGTTATTTTTTCCTTCAAGTCAACCGCAGTTAATAAAAATCTTTAAAGAGTTGGTATCTTCAATAGACCATAAATCTAGTTCTAGTTGTTCCTTAATACGTATAAGTACGTACAGATATTGACGTAACACGAACCTTGAAGCGCACGTAATTGTTCTTGATGATACCAATAAACAGCATTCTTGAGAGTGCGTATTCCCTAGTCGGCCAATTGTCTCGTTAACATTGAACACAATTGCAAATTCATTGGATGGCCTCCGTACGCCACCGAACGTTTATTAGAAGTGAGGAAATCGGTTCAATAATCCTAAATTATTGAGAATTGTGTTTGTGACGCGGTTCCGCCGATCCAATTGTAATAGAACTCGAACTGGGTCCAAAGCCCGATATCTAGATAACACATTTTAAATGTTATGCTACGAATAATCATAAAAACGTTATCAGCTAAAGTTTAAATATGTGAGATTCGAGTGCGACATAATTTGATACCCATAATATAACAATAATTAGGTATATGTATATCAATTGTAATAGCAAATATTGCATTCTATTTATTATAAATGATTGTGGTTGTCTAGTATATAAAAGAATAGTATGCCTTGAGTGTTGTTATTTAAGTTGTAGATTCGTAAAATTACGACTCTACAAAAGTTTATAAATTGTTTTGCGTTTTGTATCTGACTCATTTATATCTGTCCTCACCACAGCGTTATGAATTATAAGCAGTCAGGTAATGCGTCTTACGACTTGGCATTAAAACGTACCTATCTATATATGTTTTATCTTTAACTGAATATCGACCTACTTCATGTTTTAATATTCGTATTTAGTTTATAATTGAAGTTCCAGTTATGTCAAAGTTAGTAGATAGTTATTGTGGCGGTCTTTGTGTAGGTATGAATAGAAGACGTGTTCCATCATTCGTTTACCTATACAAGTGAACTGCTTATAAACAATTGCAATGTGTTGACGGATTTAGGGGCGAGGCAAGGTCGACGCGACACGCCAATCGGCGATTATCCTGCACGGTAATCGGAAACAAAGTAATGCATGCAGTCACACTATATTAATTAGGTCGAAGCCTATGGTTCTAGACTGTCTCGTTTAAGAAGGTTCAACACCAATATTATGCTTAACTATTGTAAGGCCACCTAACCAAATCAGTTTCCTCCTATTTCCACGTAAATACCACTCACATTTTATATATAAAAACAGTCGATCTAAGAATGTTTGTTGTATGTTTAGGTGAAGATTTTAGTGCCGAACTCGACGGCGGGTATGATAATCGGCAAAGGGGGCAACTACATTAAGCAGATAAAGGAGCAGAGCGGCAGCTACGTGCAGATCTCGCAAAAAGCCAAGGAACTCTCGCTGCAAGAGAGGTGCATAACGGTCGTCGGTGGGTATCGATTTCACAATACGTCGATTTAGCCGTTTATAGATACGTTTGCTTAAACTCATTACACTTCCAGGCGAAAAAGACAACAACAAGAAGGCCTGCCTGATGATCCTCCAGAAGGTGGTGGACGACCCTCAGTCCGGATCCTGTCCCAACGTGTCGTACGCCGACGTGGCGGGGCCCGTGGCCAACTACAACCCCACGGGATCTCCGTACGCCGTCGCCACCGCTGAGGTGACAGAGGTGACATCCGACACGCTCCACTATATTGGCTTACACTATTGGCTTTTACTATACCACAACTGTCGGATATCGGCTGAGACTACGCGACGCCTTTTACTATACGCTTTCAAAATTATTACTCTGTGCTCGTTCTTGTCTATACAAATAGAGCAAACAGATTACACTAGATGCAATTCTCAATATGACGAAGTACGGGATTATAGTTGCGTATGAAAGATTTTGGACATAAATATGAATTGATCTTAAAATTTAATAAAACCAGTTCTTGCTGCGAAATAGCTAAATAATACATTTTATAATAATTATTTAGTAATTCCAGTACATTGAGTCACTTCTAAAAAATCTATACGCCTTTTATCTTGAATTAAGTTAAAAGAGTGAAATGGAAAGCACTTGCGGGCGTGTCGGAGTGGTCGCACTTAACCGTTCACGTGTGCTAACGTTCATCGCTCATTAATCATTCATTAACCGACCGGTCTCTGCGAATCCATCGGGTCATCTTTGATGTAAACCTTCGCACGATTCACTGTTTCTTCTTATGGCTATCGTCGAATTGGCCGCGGTCGAGGCGGCGGCAGCGTGATAAGGGCGGTTGCAATTCCAGAGTCACGGCTTGAGCGGGACCGTCGGCGGAGTGGGCGGCGCGGTCGGCGGCGTGGGCGGAGTGGGCGGCGTGCTAGTGAACGGCAGCGGCCTCGGCGGAGTTTCGCTACAGCTGTCTCTGGCGCCGCCGGGGACTCAGCCGCCCAGCCCGCTGACACAGCACACCCTGGACCACATCAAGGTAGGCCGCGGGCCGGGACGTCTCGGTGGCCCGTTCGAAGACGGCGGTCTGTACCTCTCTGCGTCGCAGGTGGCGCTGCGCCAGGCCGGCTACTCGGAGGCGGGCATCTCGGAGATCGGCGCGGCGCTGTCCCTGCTGGTGAAGCACGGCGTGCTGGGGCTGGCGCTGCCTCCGGCCCTGCCGCACCCCCCGGCCCTCTCGGCCGCATACTTCCCGCTCTCGGCCCAGGACTCGAACGCCGTCTTCGGCCCGCTGTCGCAGGTCTCGCTCGGTGAGTGTTCGCCGTGCTCAACTCGGAAGTCGCTCCCGAATAGACAATAGGGAAAGCTACTCTCGCTGTTGGGTTTCGTCGTTCGAGGACTTCATAATCAGTGGAATCGGTGCTCCGTCTCCACGTTTTTAACTAAAACATTTATTTCGTAATCTGTGAAAATTGCACATTTCTCAGCATCAGCTCGCTTAACACGTTACACATTATGTTTACAAATAATAAACTATTCTGAAATTGAGTGAGAGAGAGAGAAGAGTTCCGGTGTGGCTTTCCAGATCCATTCTCACGACAAAGATAGCTTTTTGGATTTATGTTTGGCATTTGATATATAATATTAGATTCGTGTATCGCGTCCGCCACACGTGCTTTGCGCCGAGGCTCTTCTCTGAATCTGAAAACTAGTTTACGGTCCATCTCGGTTTAAACCGTATTAATTATGAGATCGAGCATAAGTAGTGAGAAGTTGAAATTGTAGCTTAATAGAATTATTAGTCATCATCTCGAATAAAAGACACAATTTGAAATCACTTAGCATGTTTTAAAGTATTGCTGATTTAGACGCATTGGCTTTAATGTTTTGTAATTGTCTTTGTCACGATCATTAGTCTTTTTCCAAAATACGCAATATTCACGAAAAGTCGGCAATACGCACCGGTGCCTTGAAAATTGTAACAACCACGATAACTATTGTGTCACAAACGGTGCTTTTGGGTTCAAAATCACCGTTTTGCCGAAAATAACTGAGAGAATTGACTTTTCCGTTTACGTGTGAGGAGTCGAGTTCGGCGAGTTTAGTTATTTTGGAAGTGCTTTACAAATCCAAGGCACCGCTAGAAAGGGAACAATTTGAATAGTCCTAGAGTTACGACCGATTGACTTCCCACGAGCGTAGTATTCAAGTTGTTCTTTCTCTATTCTTTTTAGCCGCAACACAGCGCTACCAACAATCGAGTGTTGTGAATCTCTCTTCATACAAAATTATCGATCAAAATTTTACCAATTTGGGTTATGCTAATGGAAATTTGTTTGCAAATTATTTTAATTTACCATCGGACGACGTGGAGTACCCCTCCGATCCTCTGATGTCACCGCTGTAATGGGAGAGAGCGCATGCGCGGGCGTCCGGCTCCGTCCGTTTCAGTAGACGCGTAGACGCTTGTAGATTTCGTTTCGACACTCCATTCTCATTCGATACGGTTAGATGTAAGAGTACATTAGCATCGCCCGGGCCGGGGCGGATTGGCTGCGCGGGGGCAGAGGGGCAGGGGAGAGAGAGCGCTGTGCGTGTGGGAGAAGGGGTCGCGCTAACCGAGCTCTCTGTCGCAACAGCGCGAAACGTTCTAATGTAAGCAAGCGCACGGCGGGGCGGGCTCTTAGAGCGTTTCGCGGGGTCTCATTGGCGCTTGGCCCCCAGCGGTGGCGCCCATTTCGCTGTCGGGCGGCGGGGTGGGCGTGGGCGGCGTGCCGGGCGGCTTCCCGGGCTCGCTGCTGCCGCTCTCCAAGAGCCCCACGCCGGCCGACGCGGGCGCCAAGGACTCCAAGAACGTGGAGATCGCCGAGGTCATCGTCGGCGCCATCCTGGGTGAGTAGGGTCGCTCGACCGCTTTACGGTGCGACGACCGCGAACGAAAGACTCACGCACCGCCTCGCATCCGCGATTTCAGGTCCGGGCGGTCGCAGCCTGGTGGAGATCCAGCAGATGTCCGGGGCGAACATCCAGATCAGCAAGAAGGGCACCTTCGCCCCGGGCACCAGGAACCGGATCGTCACCATCAGCGGCTCCCAGACCGCAATTTCGTCGGCGCAGTTCCTCATCGAGCAGAAGATCCAAGAAGAGGAAATGAAGCGCACGCGCCATAACGCCATCTCCACGCTCATGCAGTGAACGCCCCGAAACGCACACGATACGACCCCGCGTCGCGTCGTCGCCGGCGGGCGATCGCTTTAGAATTGCGGTCGTCGACCTATTCACACCTTATGCACTTCTTTATGGCGAAAGTTGCGTAATTTATTGTTGTCATTTGTGAAATGTTGTTATATTGGTCATTCGTGATGTTGTATATATAATTATTATATATGAATTTTTCAAATTGTAATTCGGATTTATTATAAATATTTGTAGGATGTGAATAATCGTACGACACGTAAAGATTTTTATATAGTTTTTATTCAGTGAACGCTCCGAGTTCAATAAATAGAGAGAGAGTGAAGTGCAATATTTATTAAGCGAGACGCAGCAGTCGCCGAAATCACTCTGAGCCCTATCGAGGGGCGTAGAAGAGGGGTCGTGTCGTGTGGGGCGTCCGTTCTAGTCAAGCGTCGCAGCCCCGAGCCAGCCGAGTGGCGCAGTTACCTGCCTCTAGTGAACTTTAGACTTTCCGACATTCGCGCAGCTTCCGACTCGACCCGAGGCGGAGTCGGCTCCGGCTCGGCTCGAGTCGGCCATTTATTTACACGTAGATGTAATAGAGTTATGTATACTGATTTGCGATTTGTGTATTCGTTAGTGTTGGAGTTTCTATATTTTAGTCGAGCCGCAAAGCGGTCGCGTTGACTTTGTGATATCTGTCACCGATATTCCTATTCCGAGCACATTTATTTTTGTATCGTTTCTCCGCTTCTCGTTCCGTTTTCATTGTAAATGTTACCATTGATAAGTTATATTTCGTTAACGCATTCGACGTATAACGACGTATTCGCGGTCGACTCGACTCGATCGAGCGATGATATTTAACCAAAGTTGGTAATTTTAATTTCTCGACATAATTAACTTTATATTATATACAATGCTAACGTGCAATGCAATAATTGTCGATTATAATTTTATTATTATTTTTTACGTTTTTAGTTCGGACGAAAGGCGTTTCGCGTCGGGTTCGAAGATGTTTATTTTTATATTATTATTATCGAGCGGGTAAAGTGGTTAGCGCTTCGGCGAGCGTTCAGCGCAGTCGGTCTAAATGTGTAAGTGAGTACAATATACCAGATTCGAGTCCAGTTATAGTAGTGGAATATATTTAAAGGTTTTAATGCAGATTTCTATATATTCGAGAGGACAATATTAAAATATTATTTACAGTTGACGAAATGTTATTTTTGGGGTCGGCCGGGAGCTCTCGTAGTTAAACAATAATGAACTGTGATCGCGTTGACGGCTTTGTCGAGGTACTTGTGCGTCGGTTAGTTTAAGTTGTCGTTACCTCACGAGTGCCATCGCTAGCTAAACGTCGCCCGCGCCGTTGGGATGGTAAATAAGTACAAAATATATGGAAGCGTAACCGTTTATATACGAATCGGCGGATGTTATTCTACTGTAGTTTGTAAGGAAAGGAATTGAGAGATATCTCCGATTTAATTGAATAATCTAGCGATCACTTCCGATATTATTATAATGATCGATTTGTCGTAAGCAACTGTCCAACGACGTCGAGTACTAATGTTGTTATAAGTGTGTTATGTAGGTACGAGCGCCCCAGCCCAGTTCTCTGGGGCTCTCTAGCGTTCTCTAGCTCTAGGCTAATGTTAGGCTACGCTCTTCGAACTAATCTCGTCTTTCGATTTTTCTCATCTTTATCTTTAAACTAAATGGGGGTAGTCGTGAAAACCTTGTTGTCAATTATGAGGAGCTCGCACGATCGCGACCCGGTAGAGCTCGGCGACGGCGGGTCGCGACCGCGCGGCGCCTGGGCGTTGTGTTAACGCGTTTGCCTCAAGTCGATTCTACGAGCTCAATTTACTTCGTTTAGCATTACATACTTGTAAGATGACGTCAATTATTCGAAAACGTAACGGCACACGGCCGCGAAATACCCACAATGCAGTGTTGAAGGAATATCTCCTAATTAGTTACGGATTGGACGTTGCCGAGTTGTGTGATCTTCTCTTCTCTTCTAGTTAGACGTCGGCGCTTCTGACAGGAGTAGCTCTAGTCGTTACATTCGAAGGTTTGTGCCGTTGTCCTTTGTAAATTATCTCAATGAATCATTAGTTAGTTTGCCATCGTGAAGTACATTCGACCGTTTGCGTAGTTAGGCGACTGAAACAATATGGAATGTATAAATAATTTTAACACAAATGTTGTTGTTATAATAAAATTGTTACAATATTTGAGAGTATATAAAATAATCGATTCTTAGTGCGGTATCTGAATTTTATCGTGTGGAGAGATATAGGGAAATAGACTTCCAAGGGTTATACTATTTCTGTGATACTGATTGTCTCGCACGCTTGTAGCTCCGCACGCCCACCTCCCGTACCCCGGACTCTCCGAAACTCCCTGTTAGTCCGCACCGCACTGGCACGCCACTGTTACACCTAGGTTATTCGATGTTGTAGGCTTAAGGTAGCTAGTTGTCATTTCCATAATAAATTAACGAGGTCCGTAGAAGGCGCGTTAAGTCGAGACCCGCGTTTTCATCCCCTTTTAATTTTAATAGCTAAATGTTGTTAAATTTGTTAATAGAGTGGTTTATCGTAATTAATATTAAAGTAGTGATAGTCGGGATTAGGAAGGCAGCCGTCGGGTGCGCTAAGCTAGTAAGCTGTAAGGTTCGATACTGTGTATAGGAATTTGGCTGTGTACTCAACATTACGACGTCATTACACCAACACACACCGCTTGCCGAGGACGCGATTCGCACGCGCGCCCGCGAACTTCGCGACTTTTCTGTATATAATTGCATTACATTTTCATTTGCGTCTCCTTGCTCATTGTCATCAATTTATTAAAGACTGAGGAATCAACTCGCGTCATCGTCACGAACGCGTCCCCGACCGTAGGGAGCTCTGCCGTCCCCGGTGACACTACCGCCACTACGATAATAATTAATTGAATATTGTTAAATGGACTCTGAAATAATTTATTGTATAACATGTTGGACTGTTTTACTAATTCTAATGAAATGTACCTGATGTCGTGCGGTAGTCTTCCCTGCGACGGTAGACTAATTGTAATATATAATTTGTCATTAAAATTAAATCGATTCATGCGGCTTCGTCCGCAATCCTCCGTCGCGTGCGAATCGCGAGGTACACTCACGAGTGTACGTTAGATGCGAGTCGCTGCCTTTGCGCATCTTCCATGTTAATAATAATTAATTAATTAATGCTGACGAAGGACCTCTTTCAAAACACGTATTAGTTCCATTATTCAAGTAATGCAAACTTTAGCCGAAAGACTTCGATGATGAAATAAATGTCTCAGATTTGGCGAAGGCAGCGGTAAAGCGTATTAAGTATCAAGCGCCGTTCAGTCGTTGTCTCATCAACCTTTACACATGTTGAGATTGATATGTTAAACTAATTCTATTGAATTGTTGCGTATTATAAGTATGTATAGTGGGGCGGCCGAACCCGCGTCCGCCGCCTCTATATCTATTGTTTGCTGTAAACTTTTAAAGAAGGGAATTTTATATATTTTTTGTTATCTTGGTTTAGAAACGGGTCTGCAAATGTTACGAGATAGTTAAGTTTAGAATGCAATGTTTTGAATTTTAAATTCGCTATAATTTAGTCAAAGTTACATAATTTAGTTTTATCGCAATGATTTACTGTTGTTTTGCAATGTTGATAAAAGGTCAATGAAGGTAACAATGTCTTAGTGTTAAAGCTGGAAACCAATTAAAGGGTACCTTGAACATTGTCTATAATTATTATATTAACATTAAATAAATGCAAAAGATAAAGTTTGTTTTTCTTTTAAGTTATCGAATTAAAGTGTAAACAGATATCGTGCTTTAAGTACGTTTATCTTATTCATTAACTAGATTTAAGGACAAATTAGATGAAATCGGATGGCGGGGCATAACAGAAATAGTTTGTCTAAGTAATACTTTATTTTATAGGCTGCCGAGATTCTTATGGACGGAAAACGTCAACAGTTATTTTAAGTACACAATAAAAATGGAATGTTAATACAAAATCTTATTACAAAAGCCTTAAAATAATGAAGATTACATCACTTGTGCAAGTTTCGTGCAACTTATTCCTATACATATTGTCATAACATACTCTACAATACATCGTGTCAATATACTACTTAAAGAGGTTGTTTTAACTTTTATTATAAACTTAGTCATTTTAAAAGCAATTGCATATTGTTAACAATGACATTTCATAACTACACTGAAATGCATAAAACCACCTGGATTTCTATAGAGGGTTTCAGGTCAGGTTCTTAAGTGTCTTGTAATAAAATTTCTGAAATACATGGAAAATAAATACCTTTATGTCCTTTCTTATAAATAAATATATAAAACATGATACAAATGGTATCTTTGGACTGCAATAAATGGCATCCCCAAAGGAAGATCATGTGAGGCAAACAACAATAGCATAACAGTGTCATTTTGTGTATTTAATACTAAGCTATCAGACTTAAGGAATAGCATTATTGAGAGAGCATTTATGCTATGAAATAATTTCAAACTCTGGTATGTGAGGTTCATAATTAAATCCATTATAATATGTCAAACTTAAACATCTCGATCCTGGACCATCAGCGAATGGTACCACCTCATGTACAAGTGAGGTGAATGTTGGTCTCTCATCAGGGTCAACCTGCCAACATTGGAGACACAATTGGAAGAGTTCATCACCAACATATGAGGGTTGTGAGGGTCTCATACCTCGTAACACTCTAGCAGCTACATCTTTATTAACAGTGTGAGAGTATGGTGTTCCTCCTAAAGTAAAAACTTCCCACATCAAACAGCCAAAGGACCACACATCTGCTTTTGGGTTATATCGTGTCTGACGCAACATTTCATGAGATGTCCATCTTGTAAAGTCTGGAGTACTATGCAAGGGACGGTTGCAAGATAACCCAAAACCTGAAACCTTCAGAACTCCACTATCAGTAACTAAAACATTCCTGCAACACAATTTTTTATGCATTATTTTCTTACTGTGTAGATATTCCATGCCACATGCTACATTTGCACAAATTTCTAGGAGCTTATTTTCAGGCAATAGACAAAACTTATTGTTTCCTAGATCTCTTTGTCGACTCTCAAGCAACATATTTTTGAGGGTCATTTTGACATCCTGTAGGACAACCAACAGTGACGTATTTGTTTCGCAGATTCCTATCATTGAGATAACATAATCATGTTCACTGGATTTAATAAGTAGATCTAGTTCTTGAAGCATTAATTTTTTTTCTGGTTTCTCTATTTCTTTATCGGATATAACTTGAATGAGACCTGTTGTCTGAACTCCATGTTGTTGCACTGTTCCTCTTATAAACTTGCCATAGTTGCCCATACCCACAACATTTGATATATCCATTTCAATAAAGTTCCTTGGTATGTTCCACAGTTTCCTTTTAAGATTACTATAATAGTCTACTCTTTCAACTTCATCTTGCAAAAATCCTGCATTTTCTATTTCCAAACAAGGTTCACTTAGGCTCAGCGGCATAGACTGAGAACCTCTTTCTAACCTGGCAATATTGATTCTTTTCCTTAATACAATAAGAAGACCTAATCCTATTAACAAGAGAACAATACCTATTGCAATTCCAGCTCCTAACGCTACAACTAAACCAGATACAACTTCTGGCTCATTTATATTTAATATTATTGTTTTTGTTGACTCCGCATATCTTATTTTCTTAATATGATTTTTTTCACTTACAACTCCTAATGATACCTCAATATCATTAGTCAATGCTAAAGGTGCATTATAAAAACCATTATAAGTTCGTTCATCACCAATAACAAAATCATTCTTTATGTCATCTGGGTCCAATTCAGCTGTTATATAGTAGGGCAGTCCTTTTTCTTGTGCATATGAATAATTACCCAAGTTTTCTGTAATAAACCCTTGTTGAAATAATTCAATGGAAACAACTATTCTGTACATTGAAACAGGACCATTAACATTGATTGCCTCTGGTATATGGACTAGCATTTCATTTCCTTTCCTCTGTAATATTTTAATATCTGGAGGACTTGGATCAGGGGTCCCAATCACAGTTTCTACTTTGACAGTTATGTTATTGCTTTCTTCCTCATAATACATAGCCCCTACACTGATATTGTATACTGAACCTGGTTGAAGATTTAAAAGTTGAGTTTGATAAGTATTGTTCGGAACTCGCCACTGTATTGGTTGCAGTATTGTGTCAGCATAAGTTGTAACAACAACTGCCCATATTATATAGCTGGTTATCCTTGTGTATGCTTGGGGTGCGGTCCATTGTACGCGAACAGTGGATTCAGTAACATTATAAGTCTCTAAAGACGTTGGCGGCCCAGGCTTAGTGATTTCTGTATCGTAAACGCTAACCGCATTCTCACCTCCACATATTTGAGTTTCATTTTTTGGACAGGGTGATGTACAAACACCTAAATCCATTTTAAATTTGCCGGGGGTGTTTCCACAAAAACATGTTGACTCATTTCCAATTAGAGCATACTTGTAAAACACTTGTTCACAAGCCGAAATGCAGACATCAACAGATTGCCCTGTATGCGTATTAATCACCTCGTCAGACAATTTGAAGCATCCTACGTAATCACCGCGATCTGAGTAAACCTCTGAAAAGAAAATCACGGTAATTGCAGTTACAAGATGAAGCAGCTCCATTGTTTATAGTTTAAATTTATATAAATGAAAAAGTAACATTAAACTGCAAATTTAAGCTAAGCCATAACTGTTACGAGTAACATTATCGATTTCATGTAAAGAAAATAAGAAAATGAGATGCTTTTTCAAAACAAAATTGTTTTGTCGTTAGTCGTTACATAGATGATAGACCGAGATCGCTCATCGCGCCCTATTCGTGATTCACAGTTTGACGGACTCAGCTGCATAGCATACTGCATAGAAGAAGGAAGTCTATGGAGAGGCGGTTATACAGTGCGTTTTCCAATTACAGCACTACAGCGCATTTTGCGGCATAATGCTCAACGTTGAGTGTTCCAACTACAGCAACGCTTCGCACAATTGAGCACTCTCAAAACGAATGCTCTCGCAAACAATACCAACACAGTGACAGAAAATTGACCAGTATTTTTCTTTAAGTTGGCATTTATCGAATTTTCGTTAGTAAATATTATTTATTGTTGAAAAATTTGTAAGGCTTTCGTTTCGTCGTAGATTTTGAAAATAATTATAGTTATTTCAAACTGCTAAAAAAAATAAATATTAGTATGGATGAAGGTATAAATAGTTACTTTTTTTATATTCCACATTTAAAATATGAATACAATTTTATTTTAAAATTCGGATCTGTAAACAAATACCGCCATAACAGTAAACAGGTTGGTGTTGCGCCCCCCCCCCCAAGGGGCCCCCCCAAAACCCCCCCCCAAATTTTCCACCCCCCCCCCCCCCCCCCCCCCCCTTTCCCCCCCCCCCCCCCCCCCGGTGTGTTTCCCCCCCCCGGCCCGGCCGCCGTTGTTTGGGGGGGGGGTGTTTTTTTTTCTTAAAAAATTACTTTACAGGATTTATACTTTTGAAAAAATTGCAATGGTTTTGAAAAAGTATATAATTTTATAGAAATCATTAAAAAATATTACTCAAAACGTAAATGATGTAAACTTCTTACATGAAACTTAATATTTTACTGTTAATTTAGCTTGTTAAAACCTTATATTCTTTAAAGGTTTTCTCTTATTTCAGTAAAAAAATTTTAATGAAATAATTTGATTTTTTAATTAAGCGTAAAAAGTTTTCAACCAACTATTATTGTTTACCACATTATTTATACATTAATGAGGTTGCTAACTCTATTCAGACCATTTTTTTGTCAACACTGACTTAGCGCACTCTGCTGATGCATTTGAAAACTAATTCACGTTCCAATTAAGCTTCAGCATTATGCGGCATTGTGCGGCATTGTGCGGCACTGAGTCGCAAAATGCTCTGTAATTGGAAAACGCACACAATTTTCATATTAGAGTCCTTTTCATGAAAGAAGTCCCGCGGAGATTTTTTGAACTAAATTTGACAGGTCGGCCATGTTGTCGTTCGTCGATGTTATCAAGTTCGTTAGTTGTGGTAGATTTTTGTGAGTTTTTCACTAGCTTAGTGCATTTTAAAGATTGTTTACAATGCCAATAGTTGTAAAAAGTTCGGCTCGAGAAATGATATTGAAGGTGAAAGAGTTCTGTGAAGCGGAACAAAAGAATCAAGGTGTTTTAATACCACTAAACAATGTTCGGAAGAGAGTCGCCGCCATAACAGTAAACAGGGGGTCTAGCCAAGATGGCTTAACAGTAGTGTATGTAGAAAGTCGAAAACTAAATTTGTATGAAAATGACAGCTCGTGTCGACAGTCGGTAGCCTAGGCCCTAAAGGCGTGAGTCGGGATACAATAAGCGACGCCATGACAGTGCTACGAAAAGACACACATTAACGCTGACGCTATTCGGTAGCCAACGGCCAATTAATGTTTCGGCAGTGTAGAAAAAACGGCGTTTCTCCGCCATGTTTTAGCGTTATCTCAAAAGCTGCTGTTTGCAATAATTCAGTACAACTATTGCCATCTTTAATGGCTACCGTTTTAAAAACATGTCATATTTTGGAGGTTTTAACGAAATGGTTTTAATTTGTTATCTGTCTTTTTTTAACGTTCTCGTGTAATTATAATAATTTAATAAATTTAAACTAGAGTTAATATTTTTAAGTTAAGAGTTTTAGTTTTTCTATGAATCAATGCGAGGATAACATAATAGACACAGATAAATATGAAAATATCAAGAAAATCAGCTAATTAGTAGAGGTAAATCCTAGTTATATTGGATATCTTTTATTGATATTTATATTGCATGTAAGTTCATGAAATTGTTCTTTAATTTGAAAAATACATATACCATTTAATATTGCATATATTAAGTAATCACAAAGTAAAATGATTGTACATTTTATTTGTATATTTCAGATGAGAAAGCAGTCACTAATGAACATAATTAGAAGTTCTAAATATATTTAATTGTAATTATAATAGAAGCTGATAATGATATAATATTGATTTAAATTAATCAAATAAAGTGGATTTATACTTTATGAACTTTGGAAATATAAAATCTAGTGAGCAATACTAAGTAGGTACCTAATGGTAAGCAGATATTTTCTTTAATTATTTACTAAGTCAATATACTAGAGAAGTTATTATAATATTGTTAATGAATGAGAAGTTTGAATTCAAGTCCCTTGGGCGTTACTGACATTGTTTGGTTATTAAACTTTAATTGACAATAAGCAGCAAAGTGACAAATTAAGTATATTTTTAAGTTTAGAATTAAGTAAAGAGTTTTAATATTAAAGTTACCTATTGAACAAACCTTGGACCGATCTTAGTTTAGTTTGTCAGTTTTCTATTTGATCAAAGTACTAACTAAAACATTTTCTTTTCAGAAAAAGAGAAGCTAATAAGACAACTAAAAATATTTAAAAAAACCACAAATGGAGAAGTTTTATTAAAGTCTTATCTTTTAATTAATTTAAGTGTTATATTATGTACCAGAAAATGGGGAATGAAGCATTTTATGAATAATGTAAAAATAAGACAAGTGGAGAATGAAATAATGGTTGGTTAAGTAACATTACCTCATGAACAGAAAACAGTAACTGAAACTATGTTCTTCCACATTTAATCTTAATAAATTCAGCAGTTTGAACGTTAATGAGATATTATTATAAACAAACTGGATTTGTAGATTTTGGGAAGAATTATATCTTTAAAAAAACTATTATTATTTACAATTGTTGTGTTAAGGAAACAATCACTGTTTTTTTAATCGCCCAGTATGTATTCATAGTAACTGTAGGTATCATAGTAATTTTATGAAATCATCACAATATCTAACGTTAGGTTTTATGAATTGAATAATTTTTTGTATATAACAGCACACAAACAAGATATTGACTTTGCTGCAAATTAACACTTACATTTATTAGTTAATTATCTACATATATAAATATGAATAATTGAATACATCTACATTAGGTAGTAATGCATTGAATTTGGTGCACCTGTGTGTTCAGTAGTAATGTCTGTATTGTTTAACAAGTTGTTATATATGCTTATTTTTCTATGTAGACTGCATTATGTTAAGGAAGATATTTGGTGCCTTATTTTAATAAAAAATAACCATAACTGAAACATTTTTATTTTGCTACCTATTTGTTTAATATTCCTAACTATTAGTAGGTACGGGTCATTCATATATGCATTATCTGTATATTCTTGTAAAATAAACTAATATTATTAACCACTTTAATGGCTTTTCCTACTAAAGAAGACATAGGTAAATTACCAAAAATAAAACTGACAAATACATAACATACAATGTTTATTCATTTCTTACTTAAACAGATTTTGCATTTACATATTAACTAGTAGCAAATCACTGATATAACCAAAAGTTAATTGACATAAATATTAACTTAAAATCAGCATCAAACTTAAATTTATATCTAAGATGTTAGAGCATCAATATGGAATCAAAGGTTGAGTAAGGCTTATAATTTCATACCAGACTAAGTTTCTATTTTATAATTTTTATTAATCCCTCTCTTCATTTCGTTGAGTACTTCATTCTCACTTTCTAAAAGTATAAATTTATTATAAACAATCAACCTTTATGACTCTAACTTAAACTAAAATTGTTTGTTGGACATAAACAGAGATAATTCCAACTAGTAGCAAATCACTAATCAAATCTACACTTATATAAAAATCTGCTTTCAAATTGACATTAAAAATGTTCAAGCACAAACACCAAACCTAATTAAAGCTTAAATCAAACTCTAATTTCAGTGTTCACACTAGTCTACGTTTTTTTTTCTATTGTTTTTTAATTTCTTGGACTATCCTTCTATTCCTTATCAACTTCTAGTCAACCTTATTTTCACTCTTTATTTATCAATCCACAGTACTATTTCTATTGTTTCTTATAAGCGGTAACAAAATATGTTGCTTCTTCATTTTGCAGATTAGTTGTGAGGTCAAATCCTAAAAATATCAAAGTATGAGTACTACTAATTATTATATATCGTGATTATGCAATTTCAAAATATTGTATTTATTTGTAGCCTTAAATTTCTGAGAAAACATGAAACAAACCATAAGTAATTAAACATGCAATTAAAATTCATATATTCACTTTACACCTTCAGTAAATTCCACTTAAATCGAAAATTGTTCCGACCTTGCTGACATTCTAATGTCCCTTTTGCAGCTTCCAATAATTGGAATTTGCAATTATTGCAAATTAACAATAATATTGTAGTTTTAACTTTTATTTGTTTATAAAAGTGACATTAGGAATACATTTAATCCAGAGACAATATGACGGAATAAGGTGCTACGAACAGCAGCTCGCATCTACGCTGTCGACTTTGCGGTAATGTATCGACATGCCTCTTGGCTACGAACGAAGCGTTTTCGACAGTACAATTACGCAAAAGCGGTAGTGTATGTAGAATACTTTTCGACACCAATATGGCTAGACCCCCAGGTTAGTGTTGCGCACCTCATACATGAGGCACCTCAAATGTCACACTCAAAGTTGTCAAATGTCGCATCACCTCAAACACACATTTTGTACCGCTTCAAACTCGTTGAGGTATTTCAAACG